GGGGGGGGGGGCGGGCATCCTTCGAGGACTGCGAGGATTACGCATTTCAAAGTTTCGACATTGATAATTAATCTAAAAAATTGGCGCGGCCACCGCAGAGTTCCTTCAACCACAATCGCTCCTTCCGTTCCTCCCATCCTCCCATCCTCCCATCCTCCCATCCTCCCATCCTACACTTATTTTTGCTTAGATCGCTTGAACCTTTGCCAAAACTCGTGTGAAATGATGCTACATGTGTATCTGCGTCATTATTAGAATAAGACGTATTTTTTTAGAGGTGTTTTGTACACATATTTCACTCGAATATCCTTTTTCCTCCAGATTTTTGAATATCGTTTCTCTACGCCCCGTATGCATTCGATGTGCTATCCCTCGTCATATCCGAATTACCAAGGCAAGCCCGTGGATGAACGGGAAACGGGAAATTAGTTACTCAAACTAAAGTTAAAGATACGATAGGTGCAATTAATATGGAGGAAGTGCTTTTTGTATTGATCACGTCTCTTAGCATTTCCAGTTTCTGCTTTCGAATTTGATGTATTTAATATAAACACACCGCCGACTCGATATCAAAGTGCCATCGGCAGCACAGGGTTGTTCCAGTAGGCCGAGATGCTGGCATCTCGGATCTCATTGACGATTTTTCTCAATCTATCTATTGCAGGTTAGCGATTAGGCAAAGTCTTTCTGTTCATTATTTTTCCATAACAAAGAGAAGTTGGATGTCAACTCTATTTCCGTTGTTATCGGCCGATATCATTATTATGAAATTATAAGGATTATCGGTAGAAGACACGTTAGAGAGACGGAAGTCGAAGAATGCCGGTGTTATACGTTAGCGTCGCCTCTTGGATGCGGATGCCAAGGTACAGTATTTGTGAGACAGCCGACGTTCCGAATAAACTTTACATACAGAAGTGCGTTGTCAATTCTCGGGAGAACTTACTCGTTCGGTCGTTAGACTTCTCTGATCAGAATCTCGCAGCTCTCATGAAATTCTAGTCAGATTCTATTTTTATCCACGCTGCTGCTTCCGCAAGGTTACAATTTCATTTACCATCTCGGAACATTGGAATTCATTTTTAAAGAGATCAGGATGAGCTGATTTGAAATTTTATTGGTCAGTTGACACTTTCTTCTCCCTCATCCAATAAAGGTTGAATATTGATTAACAAGTCTTGGCATGCGAAGTACACGGGAGTTTTGCCTAGGGTCTGTACTATTGTGAAGAATTGTACCTGCAGCTCGGGGGAAAGCAAGACAGACGTGTCTTAGGAGGCAAA